CCGCTGTGATCATCAACATCATTATTTTTTATATTATTATCAACAGTGGCGGATCCATGAAGCGGCTCGGAGAGGGACTTCCACAGGTAGAAAAATACTACCTCAGCCCCACCATGGTTGGGGCTAAAGTAAGAAAACTTATGGTGGGGTGGAGGGCACCGGCCCGCCTATTGAATCCGCTTATGATTAATGTATATATCAAAAAATTAAAATTTTAATAGAATTTTCTTTTTTCTTAATTTACAAAAAAAAGTTTTTGACAAATTTAGGTGAGAGGAGGAAGCCCCCCTGAATCCACCTATGATCAATGCACTTATAAGTAGCAACGGGTAATGTGGCATGGGATTATATGACACATGGTACTGTTGTGACGTGCCTACGATAGCAACGTGTCGACCAACTAAATTTGGCTCGAGCAGGGGAGTAGTAAAAACACGCACTTCTCACCAATGAAATGTTGTGATTATCATATTAATATTTATGATGTAAAGTAATAATATTTACCATATTCTTGCGTATTGTTACTTCTTCAATAACATAATAGTGGTAAATATAAGATTAACTAACCTTTCTCCTTGACCTATCGTTAAGTAATCTGTTTCGTATGGGATTGTTTCTCCGCCATCAGTACTAATAATCGTCATGCTGTGTTTTTCAATATGAAATGACGTCGTGCATACTGCTATAAATGCGCCTATTAATCGTATTCTATACCGCTTTCCTGCTTCAACTTCAAATATTTGTCTCGGTGTTTTAAATACCTGACCAGTTTCGTCCAAAAATTCGATTTTTTCTCCTTTACCATTCATAAGGATAGTAACTATCTGAAATCTAGCATTTAAAGCGGGAACACTAACTTTAAGTTCAATTTCCAACGATGTCATATCAGCCCAATCTGTTATCATCATGGTATGTTCCGGTAGATCGAAATCATACGCTTCGCTGTTGAACTCTATTTTTCGAGACTTCCTCACAATCAATGGGCCTGATGCGCCACTTCCCCTCTGGTAACCTGCGTGTGAGTGCCACCAATGTGTCCCAGCGGGCTCAGCAATAAACTCGTAGACAAACGATGACCCACGTGCAATTGCGCATTGCGTCGCACGTGGGACGCCGTCCATCCAGTTAGTGTTAGTTTGATGAATCCCGTGCCAATGCATTGTTACTCCAGCACCGGATTGTAAGTTGTTTGTTACCTTCACTCGTATTGTATCACCTTCGCAAGCCTGACAGAAATTTTTAGAAATAATATAACAAGACAAAGGAAGTGAAAAAGCGCATCTAGTGGTGGACTGGGATAAACTTCTTAATTTTGTTCGTACTTTTGCACTGATATTTGGAACTTTTTACTGTTAATGCTATGTTTCATGTAACATTTCCAATAGTGTTTGAATGGTGTACGTATAAGGAAAATACAATAGCACGTTTGTTCCTTTATTGAAATAAAATGTTGCCTTTAACAATTAATTTCAATATTCCTTGTATAATGATAAAGTAGTTTTCAGATACCATGATATAATCAATAATGTTTTTTTTATCCTGATTTGCACTTATGCGCAGACAACGCTGTGTGAATGATCAACTAGACGCAGTAATACCATTAACCTAGGTCAAATTAAGCAGTAAAGTGGAACCGTGGTTGAGTCATTGCTCAAAATTTAATATTGATATCGATGATCAGAAATATCAATGTATCACTACTTTTACCCTAAAAACAGTGAATGTCGCAGACTTATTTATTATTTATGCTCCATCTCCTTACTGCTAAACCGCAGCCATTTTGTTTTGTCGAGTATATACAAGATTTTCTATTCGACAGGTAGTCTTCGTTAAGTGGGATTTTACCACTGCACAAGTGGGCGTGGCTTAATGAAGAACGACCAGTCAAATACGGCCATTATAATTTTTGGCTTAAGGATTACATAACCTCCATCATTTTATAACATTTCCCCTAGTAGTTTAATTTTGGTCAATATGCTTTATCTTGTAAAGTATTTCTTGATGTTGCTATAAAACAAATTGTGAATATTCTGTTATTTTTTCTTATGTTCATATAAAATAGAAATATAAGTTTTGATTTTAGTTTTATTCATGTGCTATTTGTCGGTAGTTTATAACACTTTTGCACTTCTTAATTATCAATATGTTTATTATATTATTTTTATATTGTTGCATTATCATTATAATATAAAATATTACCATAATGCTTGGTCCAGGAAAAGATCCATTTACAGTTATCACAGGTCTTGAAGACCCGTCAACAGGCACACACTTTTCGAGATCACAGTCTTCCTTCTTAAACGGACATTCCCCACAATAACCTGACATAGTTTGGTGCCATTCGACGTTAAATTCATATTCGCATACCATTGGTTTAGATGGATATCCGCACTCCCGGTAGCAATTGCTTAAAATCTCAGGCGTATTGGTGAGAACTTCTTTCCTTTTACACTCCAAGGGTTTACCTAAAATCAATTGAACATATTGTTTGATTTAACATAACTCTGGACTAGACTCTAAAATCGATTAAATAAGCCATTTTTTTTCTCCCTAGCTCTTTTTGACACTTTTTTACGCATTGATTTCTGTATATTTTTATCCTCATATTTTATACGGTAACTATGGCCTTAATGCTAATGAATCAATATTCAAAGAATTTTTGGTTGTAAATGATGTGCTTCATATTAATGACTTGCCTTGTATTGTGTACTGTGATTTTCAATGTTCTGTGTATGAAGAATGTATTTTATACGTAAATGATGATAAAGAAATTACGTAAAATTGTTTGAGTGAAGGTGGGTGTTCCCCACGAAAGATACAAAAAAAAAATAAGGCTTTGAAATATTGTCATATTTTTCGGGGGCTTCGCCATCTGGAACACTTTCGAAACATTTTGCTCGCGTCGGAGACATCGTCAACTTGTTAGCGGCGTAAATTATTGTTTGTTCACTGTTTGTTAAACTCAGTTTCCCTACAATCTCTACACGTTATCGCCGACAGCTTTCAGTGATGCTGATTGGTGGTCGAATTGGGAAGCCTTCCCGATTACGTCGGGGACTGTTAAGCAATATTGCACTGAAAACACTGTAGCGACAGTGTAGCAATTTTAAGGAACCAGGCTTTAGTTGAAAAAATGTGGGCCGGGGTTGGCTTGGCAACTCTTGAATCCGCCTCTGCACTACAAATATTTCACGGAAAGCATTGTCGCGAGAGTGTTGCGATTGTATAAAAATCAAGCTTTACGGAAAGCCTACTAAATACAAGATTGTCTAATGACAGGTATTCACTAAAAAATGCCTTACCCGTTTTCAGTAGAAGTAAGATCAATACTGCTACCAGAAGTTGAGACATGGCAACGTTGTTTCTGTATCGTCTGACTGTTAATTTATTCATTATTGAGAGCATTCGATGTAAATAGCTTACGTATTATAGTGTTATAGTATTATACAAATCTTTATGAAGTTTCTGATGGTACGGACTACAGTGTCATGTCTGCTAAATGTCTATAGTTTGACGGCTACAATAGAAAAGTCGGTATCTACCAGTACTAGTAACTGGAATATGATAATAACTCCATAAATACACATTTAATTATAATCTATATGATTATTTTATACTACACCATAAGTATATGGATTAATTTACCCTGAACAGCTCAGAGAGATTCAATCTTTCAGGGAAGTTTCAAGACACGATATACGTGCATGTATAATGAAAAATAACTTTAAATGATATTTTTGTTCTTATATTAATATGGTACCAAATTCAAATGTATTATTAACACATGGATGTAGTTCGGCTAATTGTAATGTTTTAGTTTAATGTATCAGTGGTAGATTCATGAGGGCCCAGCCAGCCCCGGCTCCACCTAAGTTGTTGTTTAAAATAATCACTTTTAAAAATAAAAAGGCCTAAACAAGTAAACAGGAAGGCCAAAACTAAACTTTAGAGGCATGCCTCAATAAAAAAAAATTAAAAAAAGCCAAATGATTTATCCAGATAAATTATTATTATTATTATTATTATTATTATTATTATTATTATTATTATTATTATTAATATTATTATTATTATTATTATTATTATTATTATTATTATTAATACTCAGCAAAAAATGGAAAAAGCAGAAGCAGATATACATTTTCTCATAATATAACGGTTCAGGCATTATTAAAAAAAATCCGTATATTATATATACAGAAAATATATACAGTACATTAGATTAAAGGAAGGTTTCTGATCAATTAAAATGTTAGTTAAGAAAGGAAAAACAAATGCTAAAAAAACTTTTCAAATGCTAAAATGTTTCTTGTTTCTTTAAAATGTGGTTTAAAAGTTATCAGAGTTAAACGGGAACACACAATATTTTAAAAAAATAATTAAAAAATTTAAAAAACGTTAAAAAAAATTGAGAAAGCCAGATTACTTACTAAATCAATTATATCCAACAGTTTTTTTCTATTCTTCTACCTTTATATCCGATGTTAGTCTTCCTTATCATAATAATATAATATTATGTTGTATTCAGGCTATAAATATAAACTATACATTTATATCTAGCATTCTCATTTTTCATAATCTTTTTAAAAATGTTTGCAAGCCCTACTTTGCCTTATTAAAGTTTGTTGTCAGAGATCACTTCGGTTCCCAATCCTCACACCTTGGGAAATCTAATGGAAGCTTTGGCATTTCACTTGGTTCACCAAACTGCAGAACTATAACCATTCCTCTCTATGAAAATAACCAAAAGGGTTTGTTGTGAAAAATTTTATATATATTTTAATATATAAGCATTTATATAGAGTATAAGCATTTTAAGCCTACATCATATATACATATATATATATACATACATATGATTTTTATGTTATTATGCTGCTCATTGTTATCTTTATTATAATATTAGCAGTGGTATCATCATCATTATTGTCATTTCACCGTTCCCCAGTTTTTCCTCAAACAACTTTTTTCTGTCAAAAATCAGCTCTACAACATATCAACATTTGTTTTCCTCCGGGGCCTGACTTTAATACATTAGACTAGTTACTATCCGGAACACAACATTACGTGATGATAAACATCAGTTTAGAAGAGTAGGCCTATACTCTATGTTCAAATGTGGACTGAGGGAAACTCCACTGTCGTAGACTTCGCTCGATGCTGATACGAATAATGATTGATAGCAGTGGCGATCTAGGGGGAGTGAATAGGGTAGCTAACCACCCCCTTTCGGTTACTGTTAAACAAATTCGTCTTCGTGTTTGTGTGTGTGGGGGGAAGGGGGTGCTTCACGTGAATGTAAGTTACGTGTAGAATAGAAGGCTACACTGTAAAACATGCACTTCCATTTTAAGCTTTTCAGATGCCATCTAAGAGTGTCTAGCCGTCTACTAATTCCAAAAACAAGAAAAAAAATTCTCAAATAGGAGTGGAATAAATTCCCCTCAAACCCCCCCCCCCATCCCATTTGTGTTCGTCTCGCATTATTCACTCCCGTTTGTTAAATCATAGATCCGCCATTGGATATGGCTACGTACTATATAAATTTATTTATTTTATGTGATGCCAGTATCGAGCGAAGCCTTAGCTTACACAAAAGAAGAAAAGTTATGAATAATTCATGAAATTTTACCAAACTTACCTACGAAAAAATAACTTTAGATAAGGAATGGAGGTTCGAGGTTTGATTAGCAATCACATTATAACAAGCAATGCCTTCAAGGTGTGGTGAAATGATGGGAGAGGATGATGGAGTTATGTGTGGCACATTGGGGAGTCTGTACAGATAATAGTTCACAATTGTGGTTATTGGTAATCCTCAGAAGTATAGAATAACCCCCATACTGTTTTAAATATTTTATTCATTTATTATTTATTTATTAATCTATCACAATAATTCTGAGAACAATAACGTCAATTATTACCGAATTATTACGATTCGGCTATTCTAATTCAACCCTCATCTTCGTCGGTCGCCCTCTCCTGTTCCTGTTTGTTTCGAGGTTGGCGACGAGGCCTTGTCGAGACTCCTAGACGGTAGCCTCTTCTTCCTCGGTCTCAGTCGCCTCTTGCATAATGTAAACTCATTAGCTGTCATGAATATTTATAACAACTGGAACTTCTCGTTATAAATATTCATGACAGCTAATGAGTTTACATTATGCATGAGTATTTATAACAACGGGAACTTCTCGTTGTTATAAATATTCATGACAGCTAATGAATATTTATAACAACTGGAACTTCTCGGCAAACTGCACATTTTCTATAATAGGCAAGTGCGATGCCAGTGGGTCTAGCCTAGGTTAGTATTTTGTTCCTCGAAAGATTCGCCGTGTAGATAATACCATTGACGAGAAAGGTTTGGATGTGAAAGAGAAAATGAGTAACAAGAGGAAGAGGAATTAGTTCTAGGCCTAGGTGACGTCAATGTAGACCTAGTAGTATTTTCAGAGTTAGAGGTAGTGCAAGCCAAACCTAGAAAAGCCTACGGTTCGAGAAAGAGACCACATCTAGGCCTAATAAGCTGGCCTAGATTTGTTGCTGGACATCAAGACGCAAATTATGCACAAGCATGTTAACATATTATTATATATCACATACAATGACAATCCTAATTAGGGCCTAGGCCTATGGCACAGGCCTAGGCACAATCATTTATTTCTAGGCTTAAACTGTTATTATTATTATTATTAGGCCTATTATTATTACAGGTATTATTATTATTATAAAAATGAGGCTCTCAGAATGATTAAAGTTTTAAATTTAAAATAAAATGTAAAGACATTAATATTATTAATTTCAGAAAAGTCTAGGGGTAGGCCAAGTGATTTTATTTTCTAGAGAATAAGCTAAAATAGGCCTGGGCCAACTTCCAAATTTATGCTGTAATTTAAGCCTAGAAATAAATTACTGTGCGTAGACCTAGACCATAGGTCTAATTATTATTGTATATTAATATTATAAGTTAACCTTCTTTTTGCATTTTGCGTCTTGATGTCCAGCAACAAATCTAGATGTACAATGTCTCTTTTTCGTAGGCTTTTACTATGCAGTATATGGCATGCACTACCTCAAACTCTGAATATACTACTACTACTAGTACCGTACTAAGCCTAGACCTACATTGACTTTATCTAGGCCTAGGGTAGGCCTAATTCCTCTTCCTCTTTTTTACTCATTTTCTCTTTCACATCCAAATCTTTCTCATCGATGGTATTATCATCTACACGGCGGATCTTTTCAGGAACAAAAATAAGGCCCGCTATAATACTACACTGGCACCGCACTTGCCGAGAATTTTCAGTTGATTATTAATATTCATGACAGAACTCAGTGCAGTATGACAGCTAATGAGTTTATATTATGCATGAATCGACTGAGACCGTGGAATAAGAGACTACCCTCCTAGACTCAGCTAAGGATATGATCGGACCGAATTGAATTAAGTCACTTTTTGGTTGAAGAAAATGGTTTGATTTTAGTATTATTCGATGAGAAGTTTATATGAACATCATTGTTTGTATTTAAAATATTGTCATTGTCACTTTTACGGATTCGTAGCGTTTTTTAAGTAGCGTCACACTTTTGGTACAATACTGCAGGTATACTTCATCCTGCCTCGCATGAATGGGTGTCCCGAAAGCTCAGACATACGAAAGCTAAGACCTAGGATTACGAGATAGGCCTATATTATCAGACCCACTAGAAATATCAGCCCCGAAAATTAAGACCTCAACTAAGTATGCCAGGATTTCTGACAATGATACCTTTTTTCGAAAGCTAATATCAATAGAACTGACTAATCATGAAATAAACACCAGTATGTATCATCGATACCAGCTAGGCCCGTATTTGCGACAAAAACAAACAAACCGTTGTACGTGTACAGGCTATTCACACTCCACGGAACCGTACCGGTACGGTTTTACGGTTTCGACAGCGGTTTCTAATGCACATCGTGCGAATATCCAATACATGATTCTCGATCGTTCTCGATAACATCTCTATAGTTAGTCCTATCAAGACAAAAAAATTGGTCCGTGGCCAAAATCGGTCCGTACTTATGTGTTCTTAATAATAATAATAATAATAATAATAATAGGCCTAATAATAATGATAATAGTAACAATAATAATGATAATAGTAATAATAATGATAATGATGAAGATAATAATAATAGGTCGATTTATAAGGCAGAAATAAACAAAGTCTCTAAGCGCCATGTCCAAGTCTTCAGGGGCGGGGATCCAGAGATTTTCTGACGGGGGGGGGGGGGCGGCACAATACCAAGTTCTCGCCGCCACGCCCACCTCTTAGCCCCACCATGGTTGGTGTAAATAAGTGGGAAATAATCGAGCTGTTTTTTCTCTCCACTGCTGGATCGCCTATGAACTCATGGGTACACTTTTTCCTCTTTTTAATTCAAATTTTTCTCACTCTTTTTTATTTTTCGGTTTGACTGATGGGGTGGGGGAACGGGCCCTCATGCCCTCCCCCTGCTGGATCCGCCACTGGTCCTGGTTTGA